CCTAAGCCCCAGACTCTAAAACCCTAAACGGCAAAGTCCTACACCCAAAACACTAGAACCCTAAAGCCCTAAAGCCCAAAACCCCAGAACACTACGGGGGCTTCGGGTGTGCAAAATTGAGGCTTTTTGGAGGAGAGGATCGGCTTCCTGGTCTCAGGTCCCAGTGACTCCAAGAGTCGGAAAGGAAGGGTTTAGGGTTTAGGGTCTAGGGTTTAGGGTCTAGGGTTTAGGGTTTAAGGTTTTGGGTCTAGGGTTTCGGGTTTAAGGTTTTGGGTTAGGGTTTAGGGTTTTGTTTTAGGGTGCAACGGCCTTTCATACAGTTAGCGCTCTTGGCCCGCCTCACCGAGGCATACGTTTAGGGTCTAGTGTTGAGGGTTTAAGGTTTTGGGGTTTCGGTTTAGGGTTTCCGAGGGAGATGGAGTTGAAGTCAGAAAAACGCTTCGATGAGAAGTTTTAGAAATAATAGAGTTCTAAAAATGTATAGATGGGGAGTTTTGGAGCTCATTGAAGTCGGATCTGCCCAAACCCCTAACCCCGAATCTACCTGAGCGAAATTGGGAAAAACCCTAAACCCTAAACCCTAAAGCCCTAAACCCTAAACCCCAAACCCTAAACCCTAAACCGTAAACCCTAAATTGTGGCCGAAGGCACATCTGAGTGCTGCAACACCTCTCGGCAGCTCTCGGCATCTGGTAAGCCTCCCGGCAAGGCTAGGGTTTGGGGTTTGGGGTTTGGGGTTTGGGGTTTGGGATTTAGGGTTTAGGGTTTAGGGTTTAGGGGCTGTTCACGGTATCCTTACAGTACCGCGACAGTACCCAAGAGAATGCCCTTATAGTTCCCTTACAATACCCTGATACTAGTGCCCTATCACAGAATCCCACCTTTATAGTAACTTTTATAGTAACCCTAAACCCTAAACAGAACTCCAATCCAGAGATTCGGGGTCCGAGGTCCAAGAAGCCCCTGCTTGCACGCGCAAGCCGTTTCTGGCCCGAGAGCATCAGCGGTTCGGGCCCGAACCCTAGAGCTAAACCGTTACCCCAAAGCCTGATGTAGGGGCCTCAACCAAAAAGGTTGGGGTTTGGGGGCATTTTAGACTATAGTTATAATAAGGAACACCCGAACTACTGTAGGTAATTATTTAGGCCCCTATATTAAACCCTAAACTTTGAGATCTACATCGTTACATCGCCTTCAAGCGACCAAGACGGCACCGCGACGACGAATCGGGCTTCCAGCTCCTTGCATTTTGGTATCAGGGTTTAGCCTAAAGCATAATCTAGGGTTGAGGGTACAAGCTTGCAAAGCTGTGTCGTCAGAGTCCGGGCTTTCTCTTGACACGAAAGCTTCGATACAGGATATCACCATCGCTGTGTTTTGAATGTCTGATCCTCTTCTTGTTGCTGCTCATGCAGCTACCATGACGCTTTAGTAACTCTGCTACTACCGCTACTACTTTTCCATCTTCTTCTACCAAGTCTTGCACTTGGCTGCGCATGGCTACGGAGGCAACAGCGGCACTTGCACTGTCTCGCATCGCTTGAAGAGTGTATCACAAGGAGACAATGCCGCCTAAACTTATTGATAACCCCTGAACCGCGAAACCCAAATAACAAAAAACAAGAGGAAGAAAGGGAGAGCGACAGAGAGAGAGAGAGAGACCTAAGATATTAGTATGCATTATTATTGTTATGTATGTAGTATTCGTCATATTAATTTGTTAATTAGTTCATTGTTAATGTTGGTTGTTTGTTATAGTGTTAGTGCTAGTCTTAGTGTCAGTGCTGGTGTGAGTGTTACCTGCTAGTGTCATTGTTGCAACGACAAGTTTTGTACTACTATACGAATGCGGTCACTATTGCTATTGTTGCTGTTGATGTTACTATTGCTAGGACTCATTACTATTGTTAAAAGTATTGTCCTACTACTACTACTACTACTACTACTACTACTACTACTACTACGATATTGCTATTAGGAGATGTTCTCACAACTATTACAATCCACCGACGTAGCTCTCAAAACTGTAACTACTGATGCATGAGTATGTCAAGCCTGATTGTTCATTTGCTTCCTACATCCGTTTTCAACAATCCGCCGACGTAGCTCTCAAAAATGCACAGAGGCAAGCACAAGCCGGGCAGCTTAACAGCAAGAAACCTAACAAAACCCTAACATTGTAGACCCCTGATTGGTCACGGCACCCCTCCCCGCCCTCCCTAATAGTATGATCTCAACACCCTATGCTAAGCGAGGGGGCTTATGAATCAGGGTCCACATGAATGCATAACCCTCAACCCTGAAGTCCTGTGAATCATCCGGGCTCAATCGGCTCACTGCTGAGGGGGCCCGAAATGACGGAATCCGAAAAGCATGTAAAGAGCTCAAACAAGTGAAAGCTCTTAGAACCCTGAAAAGCCCTAAACCTTCGTATATCTCTCCCGAGTCGCGGTTGGAGCTTCAATCGGCTCTGTCGGTGTCTCCTCCCGTGCGCTCACGTACCTTAGGGCGAAGCCCAGGATCCAAACTCCTGGTTGAAGTTTAGGAACCCTGACTTGAAGATTTAGGGTTTAGGATTATATGGTTGAAGATTTAGGGTTTGGGGTGTAAGGTTTAGGGTTCAATTGGGGTTTAGGGCTTAAGGTTTCATTAGGGTTTAGGGTTTGAGCCTCTCAAACACACGAAAAGGCTCCTTAAGCCTCCTCCTCAGGGTGCAAACAGACGAAAAGACCCAAGTAGCAGGAAATGGCCCCGTTTCGGGCCCGAACTCTAAACCGTCAGCGCAAAACGCCAAACCATAAGCCCTAAATAAACGCAGCCTATGCTATATTCTTATCGACCCTCTCTCTAA